TACATACAATTACATACAATTACATACAATTACATACAATTACATACCATTACATACCATTACATACCATTACATACCATACCATTACATACCATTACATACCATTACATTACATTACATTACATTACATTACATTACATACATAAGCAGATTGACTCGGCCCCGAATGCCTCTGCTTTCAAAATCATGTTTGCTTTGGCTTTGTTCTGAGGTCCTAATTGCCTCTTGGAAAGTGGTCCTTCTTGGTCCATCAGAGCCTTCCCCAGATCAATAGGACTGCCACATGCAAAACCTCCCCCTTTCACCTTGCCACAAGCGGAACCCAAAGCATACTTGTGAATGTGGCAACACAAGATGTAGACTTCCGACTCCTTGGTCATGAAGGGGCTCCAAGTCACGCATCGCAAAGAGCCCAAAAAACATTGCAGTCTAAGTTTTAAGATCTGCTACACTTATCAAGTGAGGCATCTGCTCCGGCAGAGCCAGAGTGACCGGAGGACTCAGCTCTTTGCCCGAAATCGGCACTACCCCAGTCACCGGCAGCTCCAAGCGACCCTCTTTGGCAGTCATGCCTCAATCACTCACGAATCGACTCCACTTCGACACTTGCTCCAACCCCCCGCAGCAGCGGTAGTGAACCCATTCAAGGGTCGATCACTCCTCCGATGGTTTTTACAGATCGGATGCCTGAGGACGATCTCTATGGATCTATCCAAAAAGTTCCCCCACGTACGATCTCTAATTATGGAATTTCATTCTATGGACCCGTGCCTCTTTCAGGCCCCAAAAATCCTCTACAGGTCCATGTGGTCTTGGGGGGTCCTGGTCTTCTGCAGGACTATCTCCCTCCAGAAGCTTCTCTCCGGCTGAGGGACTTTGGGATCGACGACGCGGATCGGTGCGGGCCGTCAAACACAAAAAGAAGGGGTCACCTAAGTCATCAGATGACATGCCCTGGCCCTGAGGTCCTGACCCTCAAAAGACCAGCTCAGCGGTCATTTGGGGCATTTCATGGTTTCTCATTCGGGATCGAACCTGGAGAATGTACGACCAGTAAGGTTGAGAGGAGTGTTTTTCGCCCCCCAAAAGAACTGGGACCTCTTAAGAAGACTGAGGCATTGCATGCTTCGTTTCAGGGTGCTGTTTCTATCCAACCTCAGTTTCTTGGAAAGTCCCATTCCCATCCACATCAGCTGGCTGAATGGATCCAAACTCCCCCCGGTCCCATCCAAGTGGTCGTGGCTCAGGGATTATATATATATATATATCATTATAATGTATTATGTGTGCATATGCATGTTTGATCCCATGAAGACTCTGGGAAGCTGCTCCAAGATTTACATACACATCGGCTGAAACAGCTGTTGTGTGGTGATTGAGTGTCATAGCAAATAGAGAACCATCTCGAATCCTGCTTGGGTGGAAGGGAAAGTAGACCATTCGTTGGGCTCGCTGGAAATCGATAGACAAAATCCTTTACCAGCCAAAGTGTAGCAAACACATGCAAACACCCTGTTCATAAGACCCTCTATCCAACGGACCTGGAAGTGGAAAAAGACCCTCATCGCTTGGAAGACGATTCCTGCAACAATAAGGAGGTTGTCTACTTCCATGTTTGTTGGAGGGGGTGGTGAAATTGAAGAAGATATGGATGTCCATCTAGTGGAGCATGAGAACCTCATCTTGAAGATTTTTGCGAAGCCATGCCCATCTCAGTATGTACAAACGGCAAAGAAAACCACCTCGGGGGGGCTACTGTACAGTAGTTCTACCGGTGCCCCACTCTGAGAGATAAGGTTTCGGTGTTCATTGCCTTTCAGGTGTAAACAGGGAAAGAGGGCCACGGCCAGATCCACAAATCCAGCTAGTACAAACTTGATTTTTCCATGTATATATGTAACATGATCTAACCTATTAGGTATACCCTAGAAGTCGAACCACTCTTGTTTTAATAGCCTGAATCCTGAACAACCATTGTTTCACTAGGTGTTTTACACTACAAAACCAGATCAACAATTTAAAAAATGGTCTTTGACTTCCAGGGTATATATATACTATTATATAACTATTTTACTATATATCAGATCTATTCTATGTATTATTATGTACTATTACTATATAACTTGCTTGACCTACCGGACCGGTCCGGCTATGGTCCGCTGGTCCGGAAACGGCAGACGCCTCGGTACCCGTCTCGGTCCGGCACTTGTGCCGTCCTACGCTGAGCTTCGGAGGCAGCAATGCACCAACTCAAGGCTTCGCTTCCAGGGCTCGGTCACACCGTCGCACTCCTCGGGTGAAGGCGGCCGCCGCGGAGGGTGAAAGAGCCGTGCCGCTGGAGAAGCCGCCAGTCTAGGATCAGGTCGTGTCACGGTTTTGGGTGCGAAAAGGAACATGGTCCAATGAGAGCATGAATTCTCCCGAAGGCGAAGCTGAGCAACGAGTTGCGAAGACATCTAACAGCTCGAGCCTGGTCAATAACCTCTCAATGCGGGGCCGATTAGCAAATATCGGCCATGTATCAAGGCTTTCACACAAAAAAGGAGGGTCTACAAATGGTCTACAGCTCTTTTGCTTTTGGTGTCTTCTAACATCAAATCATTGGGTAGAAGAGTAAGCCTCTGGGATCAGAGTATCAGTGGGCCTCCTGGGTCCTGCTGGGGTGTAGAAGTCTCAGTGTGTCAAAGTGAGAAAACTCTAGATGTGTTGTTGCTTTCATGTCTTTCGGGTGCAACTAACTTTGGTTAGGTTTCTGGACCTGTTTCATTTCAACATGATTGTTGGTTCAAGATTCAAGCCCAAATAGCAATGGAATGCTTTTTGTTGGAGCGGTTCTTTCAAAATCAACATGGTTGCATGATGATGCAGCTGCTCGGGGCCAGAGTGCTCATGCTAAGCACTTAGGCTTTGAATGCAAAAAAAATATGTGATATACTTAGAGAGTCTATCTTGAATAGATGCCGAAGCTACCGAGCTCAATCACTTTCACTGGGCAGGGACTTTGGGATGTTCCTACTTTACAGTGGTTTTTTAGGGGTTTTAGCTGCTTCTGCATGTGAAGATTGGTCACCCCGCCTGGGAGAGTCCTTATTACACTAGCCAGGGCTCCCTGGTGTTGCAAGAATGTAAATGTCAAACGACTATAGACAGTAAAAAAGGTGGTCCACTTGAGTCATGCATCCCATTGGTGGTCCACTCCAGAGCCGTGGTGCTCCTATTCTGAGATCGTTGCTGTGCAAGCCTGCAAACCTCTGAATAAACATCTGGGAAACTAAAACTCGACACACACACACACACTGACAACAAGCAAGTGACCAACCATCCGAACAAACAACAAACAAACCGACCAACCAACCAAAAAGAAACAACCAAACAGTTTTTCTAAACAAATGACGATGTTCTTTGCAAAGTCGTGGACCTTCGCCAGTACCGCTGTCGCCCTCATCGATCACAGCATCCTTGGGTGGATACCAAAAGAAAGGCCCGGGCCCGGTGGAACCACTTAGGTGCTAACTATAGAGGTCCCCACATGGATAAAGTGTTCAACATTATAGGCTACGGTGGTTTACGATTACTCTGTTAATTTGGGGCTTTTGCTTACCACAAACACAACATGCTATATAACTTAATATTACATGGTATCACATGGCTATTGAAACGAAAGCAATCTAGCTCTTAAAATTCAAAATGTTATTTGATGTTTGCTTGTGAACCTGGGGCTGATTGGGATTGAAGACCAAAACCTCGTTCCACAAGGAGTGGAAACGGTGGATCCACCAAAGGGTACAAACAAACCAAAGTGTTCAAATGAGTTTTGAGGATCCTTGGGCATGCACACGAACCCATGATCTACTCACTAAGAACTACGGTTTTGAAAACAACAGTAGGTTCACCGAACACAAACGTGGCACAATTGCACTTTCACCTTCTCACAAACAATGTTGATCTGGGAGTCCATAGCGTGCCGAGGAGAAACACCTTTTTGCAGTTGGATTGGACGCGTCAAGAACATGTTTGGGGCCAACACTGCTGAAAAAATGTGGGCAAATCGGTTTCAAGTCTCGGGCTGATTCGCACCCGTAGATTAACCCCCCAAATGTTGAATTATGATAATTTTGAGATGTGGTTCTGGAAAGGATTCTTTTGCTTCGATAGAACCGCCTCGGCCCCCTATGCCTCAGGACTAAAAGCATTTTTCCTCCCCAGGTGTCCTTGTTTTTTTTCCGCCTCTCACGGCGCCTTCCTGCATGGCCAAGGTTCGACCCTTAAAGGACTTTCATAAACAAAGCCCTCTGCAGAGCTTTCCTGAGCAAAACGGTTGGGTCTAAGGTTTGATCTGGCCATGTGGGCAACGGTAGGCAAGCAAGACCTCCTTTGAATTCAGGGTTGCAATCTACAGCTGCACTATGGTCTGCGTACACCATTTGCACCTACATGACCAAACATGTGGCCTGTGTGGCTCACATTGGAAGGTTCATCCACAGGGACACTTCTTTATCCTTGGAGGAATGAGGGGCTGGAAGTGCAAGCAGCCTACGACTATTAAGACCCACTCCAGACCTCGAAATCCGCAAACCTTAGCCCAAGTTTTTTTTGCGAACCGCGGTAAACCAGGTTTTCTGACGGCACCATCGAGCAGAGATACGGGCGCGTGAGTTCTGAACAGTCTCCTCTCTTGGCTGACCACACCTGCTTTGCATGTAGGCCTGGCGACCGTGCGGTTGCAACATCCCATGGAGTGGACGCGCACTGCGCGACGAGGTACAGAACGATGTAGCCAAATACGTACGCGCAATGCAAAGCATTCCGCGCAGCCGTGGGATGTTTGATCTGAGCTTGTTGATTCCTGTCGGAGTCCGCAGGGCTGGCGCAAAGGCGAGCAAAGAGTTGAAGCTGCAAAACAGAAAGCAGTGCAGTTGCTTTACTATTGCAGAAGCTGCGCAGGTGTATGCAAGCTGCATCAAAATTCCACATCACACGCTGGATGCAAGGTCACAACGGCGGCGCCGCCGCGCTCATCCCAGGACCCCCGTAAAGCGGCCTGCGTGCTCAAAGCTAAACCAATCCCAACAAAAACAAAAGACAAGTAAACAAAAGGCAAAGGCAAGTTTGGAAAAGAAAGCTAGAGCTTGCGCAGATGAGACAAGGCACATCCAGCCATCTGAACCCGAAACAACAGGAGCCCCTACAACAAGAAACATATAACCAACAAAAAGTGACAGGCCAACGAAGAAGACAAACTCCTGAATGCGAGCACAAAAGGAAAAAGGCTGCAAACAGACACCAGAGACTCAGAGGAATGAGGAGGTGTTGTGCGTGATCCTGTTGGAGAAGTGGCGGATATGTTGCAATATCTAGTCATCCATCGAAGCAGGCCTGCACACTTCTAGACAACGCGACAAGTATGTCGAAGTGAAATGGAACTAACACAGATGTTTAACTTTTCCAAGCAAACGGCAACAAGCCAGGTGCATCAAGCATCAGGCAGCGCAAGCTGGAAGCAAAAGACGCGGAAGCACAAGCAATGCGGTCCCAGAGTTCAAAAGTGCGATGTAGTCTGAGCTTCGGGCCTCTTTGCATTCCGCAGGACAGATGCAAATTTTGGGGCCATAAGGTGCTTGGATGTCCTCATCATCTCGCAAGACGACTCCATAATGTCGGCAATGAAAACTGAAGCTTCAATATTGAAAGTTATTGATGCTCAATGTTCAAGAAGACAGTACAGAGTGCCAGCTGAATTGAAAACCCCAAAGGGAAATCCACCCTGGCAACACTACAGGCCTGATTCGGAGCCGCCAGTGGCCACTGCTTACCACTGACACCAAAGAGATCGGCTCTTACGTGAGTGCAAGGCCCGATCAGCGCACTGACCTGCACGTATTCCAACAGCTCACTTGCAAGATATACTAAGAAGTCTGTGACGTGCAGTCATTCCCAAGGTGACAAGAATTGAAATTGGAGCTCCAAACAATGGCTGCCAGAACAACGCTTCTCAGCTTTCAGTGCCCCGTGTCTTTCATCTTGCAATAGGACCAAAAAACCGGTGGAAATGAATTCCTGCAGTGGCCCTCAAATCTTCTTCGCTATCCTGCAGTATTGTTTGCAGTACTGAAGGGCTGAAAGGCATCAGCCTTGCTTTGCTTTGTTCGTCTTTCTATGCGGCTTCTGCCACTGCTTTCCCCCAAAGGCATTGACACGAGAAGCATCCCCATAAAGTCCGAGCCGCTTCCCTTCTAGGCCCTTTCCCAGCTCTGTTCTTCTGCTCACACTTCCCTGCCACAAGCGCGACCGTCGCCCTGTTGCCCCTCACTAACCAGGTTCTGCGTCAAAAAAGCCGTTGAATTCAAAACCAAAAACCACCTACCCACCCATGACTGGTCTGAGCTGTGAATTTTGAATCACCGCCGCAGCAAAAACCGTATAAGGTCACGCAGACAAACAAGGAGACAGCCTGCACCTACTCAATGGACAAAAAATAGGGGACAAGCGGAGACAGGAGGAACGTGAACACACCAAAATATTTTGGTGTCTGTGCTTGGAGAGGCCCCCAAATTGGCCACAGGCTTTCCAGCGAGCGCAATCAATGAGCTGTGCGGTAATGTCGGACAACACCCCGCGCAAGACACATAGGATTGTGAGAAATGCGGCAATGGGTCACGCAGCCGCAGGGGAAGGCATGCAAGCTAGCACATCAAACATGAACCAACAAAGAGCAACGATGTAATAACCGACGAAACAAGCGCAGCGAGCATAAGCGGCGCAAATTGCAGACAAAGACCTATAGAAACACATGGACACGCACAGCGCGGTCCATCCACGATACGATATTGCCTGAGCTTCCTTTCCGGGCCAACCAGGTACCTCGAAGTGCCGCGCCGGGCTGGACAGACTCGCCTACTGAATGGAAATCAGGAGAAGCAGAGACAGGAGACAAACATACCCACATAAGACACATCTAGGGTTCCAACACAGACGCGACAATCGGTCTAGTCAGCCGCAGGGTAGGCGTTGGAGTTTGCACATCAAACATGAACATACAAAGAGCAACGAAGTCCATCAGGACTTCACACGATGGAAGCGAATTATCGAGGCCACGGCACGAGGTACCTCGAAGAATGTACTTTTGTGGGCGCAAAGCATGTTGAAGCCAAAGGCCCCGTAAACACACCACTAAGAATGCGCAGTGACTGTCATCTGCCAAAGGAACGGTGGAGGGTGAGGCTGATCAATGAAAGTGTGTTCAGTGATAAGGCCCAACACTGCAAGAAAGATCGGTCCGACGCATCGGGCAGTTTAGCACTGCGAACTGCCATCGATACGTAGGACATCAAGCAAGCCCCACAAACAGGGGAATCTGTTACGAATCATGAAGTTCACAGAACTCTTCGTGCCGTGGAAATCATAAAAGCTAACTTCTTCGAGACAATGTCTTACCAGAGCTGTATTGCTTTCCACAGACAATTTCTGACCGTGGGGGGAAAGTTGGGAGGCAGTCACAACCTGTTTCATGCTAGGCAAAGGCGAGTGAATTCATGTCAAAGTTCCTAGCAGAAATGAAGCTAGACATGCCCCGCAGAGAAAGCTAGAGAGAATACGCCGTGTTTCCAAACCAAGAACATGGTCTTCCACCTCGTTTGGACCAAAATTCGTGACCTCCTCTAGCTTCTAGCTTCCTTTCCTGACAACTCAGGAAATAGTCTTGCGCGCAGCGTATTGCACCGGCCGTCGGATTTTGGTCAACGGGTTTAATACTGCCAAGATGCTCTGTTGCTCGACGCCAGGTGTGCGCGGGGTCCACCTAAAGTCAACATGCAGCCGTGACGCGTTCAGCCTCCTTTTGTTTGGGCGACAGTATGCGACCCATGATCTAGACTCGTGAGCTTCCTTGGGGCCTTGGGGTTGTGTTCTTTGAGCCACGTGCCAGAAGAGGGCACATGAACTTCAAGACTTACACTGTTCGAAATAAGCTGGGTCTTTTTATTGCCACGGCCGCAACATGGGCTCAGGACTTTGTTTACAAGGTTCGATGTGTATCACCCAGTCAGTGGTGGCCAAGGCTGGGCTGGAAAGCAAGGAGGAGCTTGATCAGAAGATTGCAACCAAGCAGCTTGGCTGTGCCAGTTGCAAGGCTTGAAGACATATATTTTAGTGGTCAGATTCTTGTTGGTGGAAAAGAATGTGTTTCAGGTATACGGTATGACTTCAATGCTTTTTTGAGTAACCTGTGGTGACCCTGTGGTTGGAGCTTTTTGAACGCGAAGGAATCGCGAACAATCAAAACGAATGTACCAGGAATAAAACTGCCACACATGACAAGTCTTCAATCGCCGCTTTCTGGCACAACTTGCATCGTTTCCTATGGAATGATCCCGTTCGTTCATCTGTTGAATTGAAAAACAGCAAAATTTGAGCCAACAACAAACATCTCCCCTGCATTGAAACAGTGTCTTGCCTTGCAGCTAAATTAAAGCTTGATCTATTTCCTCACCCTTGGCTCACTCACATACAAAGGTACCGGCGCTGGCTCTTTTTGAGCCGACGCCCGTCCTTGTGAAATTTCCCGCGTGGTTTCTGAAAATGTTTTGCAGGCCACCATTGCGTGGCACAAACTCCTTGATTACGACAATCCCTTGACGCACGTCACCAACTGACCGCAAGCAAGAGGGGTTCTCCCTTCTCCCTTCTCGCAACCACGCCCTCACCGCAAACTGCGAGCCAGCCAGCATCTCTCACTGACACTACGGCGCTCCTCAGTCACCGTTTTGAGGAACGGATGGGTTGTCATCCACAGAGCTAAACATCCGCCACAAATAGCTAATAGCTGCTTCGAAAAGAGGTGGGACCCCTCGTTTCAGTTGTTGTTCAGCTTGTTGACTTGATGCTCCGAAGGAAGAGCTTTAGATTTGCTTGTCTACTTGAACTTCTTTGAGGGGCTTGCCCAAGCAATGACACCTGCACCGCGGCAAAGTTCAAACCAAGAGGAGCATGACAACTAGCTTCTCGTCACGTTCTGCGTGTGAGCATGATCTTTGCGAAAGAGCTCAATGACCCTGCACTGATTGCATTGCTACTCACCTCCACCCAGACCCAGGTCTTCATGACTTACCCGTTTCTTGCCGGCTGAGGTGACACACGACAATCGGTGCCCACAACAGCTGGGTTGAATAATGCCAGGTATGATCGATAGTTGACTGCACTGGACCATGGGTCTGGTCAAAACTGGTGGCATAGCACTAGACCGTCGTGCGACTTGCAAATGAACGGCGAATGCTCCGAAGACGCCGCCCCCAAGAAACCTTCAACCATGAAAGGGATCACTGCTAGAAGTTGTAGCCTGGCGCCAAACTCATGGAACCACACCCCCAGGACACAAGCTGCGGAGTTGAAATCGGCCCTAGCAGGTCAGGCATGCTAGTTGCCCAGCGCCCTTGGGCGCAATGCACACAGAGACTTGGAAGGATGAGGCCCTCAAAGGCTGCATTGAAGCACTGGTGTGAAGCTGCAATGGTGCAGCACAGAAACCCACCAAAACAAACCAAACCTCACTGTCACTGGACCGCCAAGGGGTCATGGCCAAAACGGGGTTGGCCCATGATGCCAAGATGCGTTTCTTTAATACATGAGAGCAGTGAACAGTATAGGCTGGTAGCTTGTGGGGGGCTCCCTCTATAGGCCTTTGTCTAGTGGGCTACAGCATCCCTAATTCACAGGGTTCTACCGTACTGCCATCGGCCATAGTGGCATTGCCCTTCCTAGACCACGTGCGGCCATGAAGATATTATTTGAAGAGTGAGCGCCAGCAGGGGAGGATTGGCTGACAGCGCTGCATCGTGATGAGAAGAGCGGCTGGCATGCCTGATGAAAACTCACAAGCATCTAGTTTTGGAAGGAACTGCGCGCTCCAACTAGGAAACGAGGAAACGAATGACGTTCGAGCAACACGAAAAGAAACCGGCCCGATTGGTTTCACCCACCACAAGACCCAAAGCTCCACTGGTTTGAGGGCGTGTGTCCCAGAACTTTGGTTGCGTTTCTGATTTGGACCCATCCCCATCCGTCCCAACTATCCCAGGAGGAAAACCAACTTTTGCGTGTCTTTGGCACCACAGTCGCTACAAGGTTTGACTTGAAGTAACCTCAATGAAAACCTCGCCTTGTGGCCTCTTTTCACAAAGGCCCCCAGACGGCCAGCAAACGCCCGAGACATGGTGCGGCCACCTCCAAAACCCCCCCCAAGACAGGAAGCTAGCTTCAAGCAACGGATGATCAGGATCCAACACTAATCCGATAAACCCACGTGAGAAACCCACCAAAAAAAGCATCTTGCATTGCTTCTAGGTCAATATTTTCCCACTTCTATTGACAATCCCTGCGAATGGCATATACCGTTCTGAAGTGCCTTCCAAGACCCCACGTACTCCAAGTTACTACAATTGGAAGCCTTGCTAATGCAGAAGGACGCAATGCTGGAAGCCATTGGGGGAACCTTGACGTCGCCAATGAAAACGGCCGTTGATTCTAGGGGTCTTGGCGCCAACACACCCAGAAAACCATAACGGAACCTGTTTCCAGTAAAATACATGTAAGTGCGCTTTTTGGTGTGTGGGCTATCGACCAAAACTGTGTCATGTTGCCACCATAATCTTGCAAAGTCACGCGCACAAAGTAAAAGCCTAGGCCAAAAGTGCGAATTGCACATGCGTTCAGTTTTTCTGATCAGCCGAGTTTGGTCAGCCAAATTCTGCGCCCACTGACTTGAAAGTGGTGAACTCCGACGGCTTGACTACCAGTGAAAACTCGTGGACGAGACGTTGGCTGCTTCCAAGATGCTGCACAGCCCGCCACACGGGCCTAAATTGGTGGAATCGTTTCTGGTGGCAATCGGAAGGTTGCGCAGACCAGTGGAATTTGGACGACCCATGGTCTGAGCAACCATCCAACATCAGAAGGGGCGCGAACCACTTTGCGGACATACAGAGATCATTAACAAACCAAACATCCTAGTTGTCGAGGGTAACAAAACATGCGCAAAGCGGCACCGAACTGTTTCCAGCACACGTGGACGTCTGCATACAGGCGCTGAAGCCGTTGTAGTATTTCTAAGCTGCAGGGTGTGCCATAGGGTTGGCTTGTTGGGGCCATTCCCCCAAATCAAATCTGTTCCCTTGATCAAGTGTCAAGTGCATGCCCAACAGGCTTGAGCAGCGCTTGCCAATTTGTCACAGATCTACGATGCATGGGGCATCGAAAACAGGAGCGCCTGCCTCATTCCATCCTCTTTTCGGCTTCCTTAGCTACGTGGCTTGCTTTGGGCTTAGGGATAGCAATTTCTCCAGGTAGAAACACAATGTCTCTTCAGAATTTTTTCCCATTCGATAAAACTCCGAGAGTATCTTGCAGAGGCTCTTCATATGCACCACTCGCGCAACCGTGGCTCATGCGGGGAAACCTTTTGATTCTGACAGGGCTACGACTGAAAAAGGCCAAAGCGGCCTCGCTAAGAACGGTCTCACTAGGATGTATGCGCAGCCACATCAAGGCTCGGCGCACTGATGGGTCATGTGTGGGCGCATTGACCTTCAGCATTCTCGCACTGGCGAAGTCCATCCCAGAGTGAAACTGACACCTGCGAGCCCACTCCAAGCAGAGCACAGTCCCAAAGGCTATTTAGCTTGATCAGGCGGTGTACGGTGCTTGTCTTGCAATCCAAATCGCCTCAAACCTATCTTCCAACACATCCCTGGAAGACTTTGGCCTTCGGTTGTAGTATATTCAACCGTCGGTCACTTCAGAGCACCAATGAAAAACATCATCAGCCCTGTGGCGTCTTTTTCTTCGCGCCTCTTTGGACAAGGCGCAACATGCAAGAATGCTGAGGCTCTGGCTTGTTGAGTGGCCTCATGGTTTCCTTGGGCGCCGAAAACTGATGCTCGCCCCGTCATCTCGATGGGCACAATGTCAACCGTCTTCATTGTGAACGCTACGCTACAGTAGTAGTCACTCTGGCGCATGCGGTTGCATGGTCTCATCTAAGCCCGCTGCACCCCCCCAACCTTAGGGCCACCAGGAACTTGCATGTACCAATCAAACGCTGGATACCACACACACACACCAGAAAAAGAAACACGCCGATCATGGAAGCCAAAATCTGAGTGGCGTTCCAAGTGCTGTAGGATCTGAGACCCTATGACACCCTACACTCAGGGCACTTACAAAGACATGCTGCCTTTTCTGATTCTCAAGCCCGCCCCCGCTGATAATGACTAATGAGGGGTTGTATAGGAGCAAGTTTCAGTCCTCTGATCTGGACAGTCACACATTCTACAATGGGGCAGTAAGAAAGCATGCTGACAAGTTCGCAGGGGCTCTTCATTTTTGGGGGACCTACTTGCAAGCTTATGTATCCAGGACACACTCCAACAAAGCTCCTGCCGGCGACTTGTCTTTCCGACCCCGCTTTGTGCAGAGCAAGGTTGGGGCAGGAAGCTGCTTCTCTGGCCCGGAGAAATCTCGTGTGAATGGGCAACAGGTCCCCAAAAGTCTCCTTTGGAAGCACACTTTCATTTCATTGTCACACCACAGCAAGTTCAAAGTAAATACCAGCTTTTGCCATGCGGACGTTCTCTTTCTCAAGCCTTGCCCCCATGCTCCCTGAAGGAACGAAATCCTGTCATCCAACGAAGTGTTTCGTTAAAGCCCCATCACCTGCAACCGGGCACGCAAATTCGGCTGCAATATGTACAGCGAGGCCTCGCTCAGTCCCTCATGGCTTTGCTGGCCGCCGACGAGCCCAAACCTGCATTCCCCTGCTGGGGGTAGCGTTCTCGTGGCGGCGCCGATCTATGGATGCGCGGTAGCACCCCCACCTTCCAGGCGAAGGTTGTTGGAACTGTTAGATTTTGGAAGAGGCTCCCGCTTCATCTGTCTTCGTCTCTGTCTCTGTCTCCTCGCCTCCAGATCGCAGTGGGCCCTACCGGGCCTCCACAGCAAGCGCCAGATTGCAGTGGGCACAACCAACGGCAACCTCACGATCGCAGGCCTCCACAGCAAACGCCAGACACTGCCGGACTTCAAGTGCAAGCTCCAGGTTGTACCGGGCCTCAAGTCCCAGCTCCAGATTGCAGTGGGCACTCCCGGACCTCCACAGCAGCAAGCGCCAGATCCTAGTCGTTCCTCCACAGATCATCTTTATGGTGTTCGACGTCAAGACATATCTCTGGCTGAAGTGAGGCTGAAGTATCTCACTGGTTTCGGTAAGGCACCAAGCGAAGTCAACCATAGGATCAGTGGCGTGTCACATCTCATAGAAGTTGTGGGACGCGACCTTGCTTAAGAAGAGGCAAGTTTGGGAACGCCGCACGAGCAGCTTATCCCTGTGTGGTTGAAGAAAAGTTGGAAGCTCTTTTCGACCTTAATTGATCACCTGCCCTCTTCCAAATCAACTCTGAGGATGGGGATCACTCCAAGTAAAGTAATTTGATTGTTTGTCGCGTTGGGAATTGGGAATACTGGGGTGGTGTGTGGGAGGATACGTGGGCAACGCAAGCATTTGGAAGCATTTTGACATGGGCCAGGTCTGTCTGTATGGATTTGTAGGCTGCTGCACCTTGGCTCAGCTCACTTTGCTATGAAGTCGTCAGCTGGATCAATAGAATGCCAACAGCATATCAAAAGACCGGCTCGACCCGAAACCCATTCTTCCTTAAAAGGCATGATAAGTTTGGATCAGCTAAATGGGAATTTCAACCCTAACACTCTACGTTCGTTCAAGGCACGCACGAATTCCGGAGTCATTATGCCGCTTTTCTGCGCCGGCGCCGGAGGCTCCGTGATGGTTTCTTCTCCAAGGTTCCCAGAGGATGAAATGAAACTTGGGGCCACTCTCTTGCCATTGATCTTCGCGGTGTCGCTTCGACATTGTTTTCCACTCTCATGGCGCGTTCGCGAAAGTGATCAAGTTGTGCTTCTGAAAAAGAAGACAGCGAGCACAAACGGATTACTGAATAGAAAGATGAGTTTTCCATGTGCCGCGCAGGCCGTTCCAATCAACTTTCCAGTTCCCGAAAAGTATCACATGATGGGTTGGCTCGCGGTGAAGGGTTGGCTGGAAGAACGTAATTACGATTGAATCGGGTTTTCTAGTTCAGATATTGTAGACTTTTGACTTGGAGTACATGTTGAAGATTAGTTTTTTTGTGATGATTCAACACCACAAACAGCTCGGCCGGCTGCAACTAAGTACAGCACCTCCCGGCTGCAGACCATTCATGTCCTTTCAACTGACTTTGATACTGGCAGCCAAAGCCGGAGGAGTGAGCCAACAGTGCAAGACGAGCATCTTTTTCCTGATCAGCACCACCTAAGAAGAACTGGGTGCGTCTTTTTTTTTGGAGTCTGTGCATGAAAAGCTGGCTGCGTTCGGAACCGATACCACTGATTTTCGTGGCTGTGGGACCCAAATCTGTGGGATCCCCAAACCAAATGGCATTATAGCGCAGCCGAACTGCGGACCTGATACTCAGCTTGTCTTGGCCACTGGTGGTTTAAATTACCGTGGTCAAACCCAAATATCAAGGGATTTGATCAACAGCAACAATAGGGCTGTGAGCCTTTCACCTCTTCTACAAGTGGCAAGCGAGGGAACCAAAACATACCCTTGTCGTCCATCCCTGATATCTCCGCCAAATGTGGTCAACTCTTGCGAAAGATACAACCAGCTGACCCGTCAAAAAAACTTGGAGTGTTCGTGAGTATTTAACAGGTGTAGGCTAGAATCTACACCCTCCAAATCTTTTGCATGTTGCACTGACATACCTGCTATGTTATGTTTTAGATATTTGAGGAGTCAACAACCCATGAGCTCAGACTTCACTTCGGCCCAGAAATCCTCCCGGCGTTGAAAAGAAAAGCGAGAAGGGCCTTGGAACACCCAAACAGCTTGACTTCTCTGCCTTCTCCTCTGGAGGTCACGTGTTGTCAAACGACCTCGTCTCCATCTGTTTTCTTGTCCAGAAGCACTACGGAACGGAGGTCGTTTGGTTGTTCTTGCAAACGTGCTAGCAAACACTAGTGCCAAGCAAAAAAGCAAACATCACAAACATTCAGCTGCAGTTCTGCTGGTGCAAGACAAGCTTGAAAGCTGACAGAAATCCAGGTTGAACGGTTGGACCTCCACATGAGGTCATCCCCGATGTTGATCTGATTTGCATCTCCCCAAATCACGTAGATCGGACAGGAAACACGACACGCCAAAGAACTTGCCGCCCTTCCAGTCCTCCTTCTTTGATTCCTGCTCCAGGTGTGCGGCGTAGGTGTGCATCTTCAAAAAGCATGGTATTCTGGAGATCTTCTTACGACCAAAGTGACCCAAACCCTTCATTTTGGACAGGGCGTTCCTCTACCGCTCCCTTCTAGCCAGGTCCATGCAGGAATATATAGCGTACAGAATATAGAAATGCCTTGCAATCAAAAAATATAAATATATAGCATCAGAAAGCGTCTATGTTAAGTGAAAATACGTTCGTACTTCGATCTCTTCGTGTCGGCCTCTCTGGGCAGTCGTCATCGGCCTCGTCGGCATCAAAACCGAGAGTCTAGTCGACCCCATGGACTCGCCCCTCCAACATCCGAAGAGTCCAGGGACCGCCCTACTCGGATCATCGTCCCCCATGGCGCGAAGCGAATGGCGCAACTCGGTCGGCCGAGCCAGACGGTCCAGAGGCGACGGTGTCTCTCCAACGTGTTGGATACGATGTGGTGATCGATGTAGAGAGAGATGTGTACACTTTCAGAACTTGAAATCCTTTGGGAAGCGGACACCAAGTAAGGGTTTTTTCTTATCTCTTGTTTAAGTTTGATCTCCGGCCCTGCCAAGGAATCCCCCAATCCCACCACACGACCTTCTCGGACATGCACGTCCTCGACCCCGCGCGGGCGTCCGGCGCCGTCCGCGTCGCCCGGTCGCCTCGAGCAAGTGCTTCAGGCCCAGAGGGCCCAAGGCTTCAAAGCGGGAGCGTTTCCTGGCGCGACTTCGGCGTCTCTGTTCGGTCGACCGGCCGAGAAGGAGAGCCACGGGGCCACCTGGCAAGACATGGGGATGGACCGGTGAAGAGGGTCAAGATGGGAATGTTGACCAGTCCAAGCTGTTTCGAGCCACCAAGGTTGGATGAAGGATACTGGAGGTGGCTTGAATGAATTGGAGGAAGTGGGTAGACAGAGGAATGGACAGAGGAATGGAGCGAATGGCAGCAGTTAGGCCGGGGATACAGGTTCAGCCATGATGACTGCCTGTGAGATATCGTCGGATCTTGTCAATGATGTCCGGTTGGGACTATCCTTTAAAATGTCTTGTACATCAAATTGCTTTTGACCTGTCAAATGTTGGGTCTATCTTAAAAGAAGGAGCCCCACGACCATCGTTCACCACTCAAAAGCATTTGGTGGGGCCTCCTCCACTGACCACACACCGGTCGGAAGGGCTTTCGCACTAAGACAAACTCGACATGGGGTTGAGCAACGCTGTTGGAGCATGACATGGGGTCATGACCCCTGGTGAAGCATCTGAAACCATCTTTTTCAGCAGAATTTGTCATGGAAACACTGCTCCAGTAGGTGTGTTTCTATGTGTCATCAATCCTTAGCGACACACATGCCTTTTTAGGTTCCGTGGCTTCCAAAAAAACTTCAAGTAGCAGGGATCTCAGAATGGGCTGCTGGATCATGTCAGCACATCCACAAGGGATAGTGGAACGGGACAGTTTGGTTGATCACCAACTGAGTGGCAAGGATCATCCAAACTATATATATATACTCGGCACTCCTTGAACATTTACTTGTTGTTTCTTGGTATGCTTCTTCTTCCTTCTTCCTTCTTCTTCCTTCTTCTTCTTCTTCTTCTTCCTCTTCTTCCTCTTCTTCCTCTTCTTCCTCTTCTTCCTC